CCCCGCAGAAACCAGCTCCCAGGCGACCGATCCCCCTCCTCCCTGGCCCGCCCTTTCCCAGCCCCCGCCCCCTGCTCTCCCACCGCACCTCCCGGGACCTGGGCACTTGCCGGCCTGCAGTGGCGTGGGGCCCACCGGCCCGCTGCCCTCCTGCGTGGCCTCTGTGTCCCTGCTGCAGTGACCCCCGTCCCCGCCCCTGCCGATGAGATGCCACCGTGTCTTCCGCCAGCTTCGCCCTCTCCTCCTCCCAGCAGCCTTCCAGAGCCGCCCGGTGGGGAGGAGGGCGCTGGCGTGCCCCAGGCCCCGCTTCCCCGTCACCTTCTTCTCTCCCCGCTCCCACCGGAGCCCCCTGGACAGCGAGCAGCCCCCTCCAGCTCCCCTAGGTGGGCAGCGCCCCTCTGGCTCTGCTGGACAACGAGCAGCCCCCCCGGCTCCTTGAGACTGCGAGCGGCACCCCAACCCCATGGTCTTGCCCGCCGGCCACCATCGGGGTGGCAGACCTCGCTCCCGAGTGACGGACAAGCAGAAGCACGTTCTGGCCTGGGCTCTGACATCCTCGGGGGGGATCTGGGGGAAAGGGTGGGTGACCGGAACGGGGCCCGGCACCCGCTCCCGCTGGCTGTTTGTCCCGTCAGGAGGATTCTTCAAGGCACTGATGGGGGAACGCGTTCCAGGACGCGCTGTTGAAAGGAGGACGTGACGACGAACGGCGGGCGCCAACGGGCTTTCCAGAGGAGGCGGTGTGGCAGGGGGCATGCCACCTGACGCCAGGTCCCCGGCACGGCTCAGTCTGGCTGGGCGCCGGCCGGTGCCCCGGCGGGGCGTGCTGCCTGTGTGCCCGGCCCCCAGGACAGCAACCGGATGTGGGCCGGCACGTGGCTATGTTCCTCCTTCGGCCAAGAGAGGAAGTTCACCCCGACGGGGCCAGAGGGTTGCACGCAGAGGGTGGCACGGAGTCATGGGCCGTCGGCCAGGGTGCCAGGGCCCTCGGGGACGGGTGTGGCTCCCACCTCCCAGGCGTGAGGCCCGGGGGCCTGGCCCTTGACAAGGCAGCACAAAGCCCAGGGAACCCCGTCACTCTCCTCCCCAGCTGGGTGTGTGTATCCCGACCCCCTGCCCCAGGTCTCCCTCGCCTCAGACGCGCACGCCGGCTGCGCCCCCACCTCGCATCCACCGGCCCCCGTGCTCGGGGCCAGCCCTCAGCACGCCCGCCCCTGAGGACTTCCCCTCCAGACTCCGCCTGGCCAGCAGGCAGCTCCAAGGCCACTCCCAGGGCACTGCCCTCCCTGGCCGCGTCCTGGCTCCCGCTGGCATTTGTGCCGCGCTTGGTGCCTTGGGCGAGGGTCACCATCTGAGGGCCAGAGAGACCAGTGTGGCCTGGGGAAGGACCCCCCGAGCTGGGGTCCGAACCCCACAGCTGCGCCCCAAGGACACGGGTCGCCCACAGGCTCTCCTGAGGGCTGAGGGCTTCTGCTGGAGTGGTGGGCAGGGCCCAGCACCTATCTGTGCCTCTGCTTCTCCTGTGTCCAGTCCTGGGTCTGCCCTGGCTCTGCCCGCAGATGCCACCCCACAGCCTGTGTTCCCAGCACCGTCCAGCACTCAGTGGGTGCTCGGTGCACACAGGACGTGCAGCAGGTCTGGGCAGAACCTACTCCCGCTCCCTCCACACGTCCCGTGCCCGGGCACCTGTCACGGGACCACGGGGCAGACAGAAGACCCAGGCCCAGGAGCCAGGCAGGGCCGAGTCGGCCCCAGGCAGGTGCGACAGCCCTGTGGGCCCAGGCCCTGGCACAGAGGGAGTGGCGGGCACGAGACGTCCCTGCTGCATCGGGGGCCGCAGAGGGACACGCAAGGAGCAGCAGGGCCTGGCCGGCGCTGACCTGGCGGGACTGGAAACAGCAACACGGCGTTTCGGCAGCGTCAGCGTCACTCCAAACCCGATCCTGCCTTGCAGAGTCAACATGGCCACTTCTCCGTGGCCGGAACCCCAATTGTGCAAGGCCCAGCTGCGCTTCCGGGCTCTGAGCTCACGCGCCCTGTGTCCTCATGGGCCCCTGGCAAACACGCTCCCGGTCGAGCAGCAGCTCCCCATGCCCCCCCTCGCCCCTTCCCTCACCCCTAGGCTCGTATCGCCCTCACAACACCCACCGCCCTCTCCCTCCTCCAGCCCCTCCCTCACGCACCCTCCCTGGCCTCTTCCTTCCCACGCCCCTCACCCTCTCCCTCACGCCCCTTCAGCCCCCAGGCCAAACCTTGGGTCACGTGAGTTCTCCCCTCCCAGCATCCCTTTACAGCCCCGATGTGGACATGAAAACAGCATCCCTAGAGCTGTGGTAGCCTGGAGGAAACCTGAGGGCTTCCTGGAGGCAGCATCTTAGCCAGGACCTGAAGGATGAGTTGATGGGGGGTGGGTGGGGGGTCTTCAAGCAGAGCGAGCAGCATGTGCTCCCCCGAACACCCTCGGCAAAGGTGCAGAGGCACAGAACGTGGCCCTCCTGGGGTGTAGGAGAGAGGCGGGACCTGGGGCCAGCAGTGGCCCATGGGGGCCAACAGGGGCCTGCATGCCAAGGCGCCTTCCACCCCCCCGTGGACCTCACTCATGGCCGCGCCTGGTGGGGCTGGGCCCAGACGTAGACGCTCTACCCATCTCCCTCCAGCCCCAGCCTGGAAGCGCAGGCCTGTGGAGCCAGGCTGCAGGAGGCGGCAGGGGGGCTGGGGCCTGGCTGCTGGTTAGGGACATCCCAGACTCGGCCCCGGGCTCGAGTCCAACCGGGTCTGGGACGGCCTGCGCGCAGAGACCGGCC